CAGTCTCATTATCTTCGCACGTCTGTCGAAAAGCACTTCCAAGAGGAACTTCATCGTGCGACTTTATCGATTTTAATAAAGCTTTTTCCCATAGCCGCTTTCCAGTCTCAAGCGACCATAACGACGTCGTTCCATCACGACATTCGCTTACCAAGAGTTTTTCGTCTGGGGAAACATCAAAGCAAACCACTTTGTCAGAGCAAAAAAATCGACCAACAACAGGGCCTTGATGACCATTTTTGTCTAACAGCTCCATATATGGTATTTCTGGATGAGACCTCAAAAGAGTATCAGACACCTGTTGATAAAGTGCTGATCCTCCTTCATTGAGTAGGTTTTGGAAAATCATCCCAGGATTATCTCGAAGCAGCTTAGGGTTTTTCTTGAATTGTAGTAAAAGGCTTTCAATTGTATTGTGGATTTCTTCGCTTAATTCCCTTGAATTCGGATGTTCTTGCACAAGAACAAGATCCTTAAGCACATCCGTGTCCTCTGTACGTAGCTTGGCATAAACTAGTTCGAGATCTGTCACGTACCCTTGAACTAATTCTTCCATTTGAGCGCTTTCAGTCTCACATGCTTCCAGCATGTGCTTGACACAGTGTCGCAAGGCGTATTTCTTCTTTGCTTGAGTCGACGGTCCACCACGTCCCTTCAAAATTTCAAGTGCTTTAGCGCACAACTTAGACAGAATCTTATGACCTCTCTTCTCCTCTACGAAGTAAACATCATTGGACGGGTCTGTCAACCAATCCTTGATGGATTTGTGGAACATGTGAACATGGTCCTCTCGAAGAATGAAAAGAGAAGATATACAGTCAATAACACCCTTAAGTTTTCGCTGATCGCTCAAGGGATCACTTTCTGAGGTGTTACGGTTTTGCAGCAGTATGTCCAAGATGAACTCTTTGTGCAAAGGTTCTTCAGAAACAGTCAAAGCACTCAGGAAATCAGTCAAAAAATTGCCATAGTTATCCTTCAATTCTTCCTTCAGTCTTTTC